ACAGGTGTCATCCTGTTGTCACCTCCTCAGCTCCTATTCTAATTGTATTTTCTTAATGCTGTCTGCTTCCCTAAGAGCCTGGGAGCTCCCCAAAGCCTTGTTTTCTCTGGTTTTGAGTTGGATCCTTAGAACAAGTGAGGGGGCTGTGGTTCTGGCTACCCTTATCTTTCTGCCATGGGAACCCCAGGAATGCCTTCCCACACTGAAGGCCTGTTTCAGCCTAGTTACTGGTGCCTGAAAGCAGCTAAGCACAAACTCAATGTCCCCGGAGATGCACTTTCAGTCATGTGAACTTAGACTAAGTGCATCTGCTCCCTATGGGTCAGCTTTCTCCCTTGTAAAATAAAGGTTTTAGCTAGGATGGGCTGTATTATTTGTGGAGCCTAGTGCAAAATAAAAATTCAGGCCCCTTGTTTAAAACTTATTAAGCATTTCAAGTCAGTGGTAGTGGAGCTTAATTCAAGCATGCAGAGCCCTTCTCAGTGTGGGAACCTGTGTGACTGCTTAGGCTGCACACTCCTGAGACTGGCCTTGGTTCTAATCTTCGGCCTCTTGAAACTAAGAAAGTGTTTATAGTGTGATAATCGTGTGAAAAGTACTTTAGAAACAGCCAAGTGCTGGGCTGCCCAAAGTCTGCTCATTTGGACTTTTCTAATCAGTTTGCTTACCCAGAGCACTCCCTCTTCATCCCCTCTCAGGATCTCCTCATCCAGTGTGCAGCGTCCTTTCCCTTAGCTATGGGGCTGGGTGCCCCAAAGATCAGAGTCAAAGGGGATCACCCATCCCCTGGGGCTCAGACCCACATCTGTGCTAGCACCTCTGCCCTGGGACTAGAGCTGTCTTGCTCATCTGGCAGCCTGGGAAATCCCAGCGTTCCCTAGCAACAAGACCCATTTGGAGCTGTTACTAGGGAAACCCTGGGATTTCCATAGCTACAGAGAGCACACCAAGCATCTCTGCTCCTACAGCTGAAAATACCTGGTGTCCGCAGAAGACGGGGGAAGGGAGCTGATCTTCTGCTGCCAGAGTGGCAGAGCTGGTTCCTCTGAATCTCATTACCTGCACAAAGAGAGGTAAACAGGTCACCAGGAACAAGACCACTCCTCCAGGCTGATGAGTGGACAGTCCTTACTCACACAAAAATCTGCAAGAAAGTTTGGCTAGTCAATTTGGAATTGTGTACTCTGTTGGGGTCCCACAGTACCTGCTGCCCTGAGGAACAGAAATCCCCAGATTGTGTTGTATTTATATATCTGTGTGCCCTCACACCTTCAGTGGCTGGGATCTTTCCAAAGCCAGTGACCAAGGTTTGTCTCATGGGCTGCTGTGTCCTCAGTGCCCAGCACAGGGAAACTTCTCCTTGGTCATCTGTGGAAATCTGTGTGTTCCTTCTCAGAATAATGTTTTTGAATGCATGAAATAAAATTAGTGGAAATCCAAAGGAAGCAATTTTATTGAAACACAGTTATCAAAATATGTTTTAAAATCACAATTGTGATGCCATAAAATATATGTGCATCTTCACGAAAAAGTGTTAAATAATAATATTGAGGGAAGATCTAATAACTGCTATAATTTGGAAGTAGTGACAAGTATAAAGCATATTTGGAGAGCTCCTGCCTCAGGAAATGCAATATGAAAATATCAGGGATTTTACTCAGTGACAGTTATAAGTACTGCTAATCTTTCTGTGGTTGGTTGCTGGCATTCATTATCCATGAAGGTAATTTCAACTAGAGTTTAGTGAAAATACAAAAAAGTCTTCTTCCATGATCTAATTGTACAAACTCCCTAAATTTTATGGAGGTTGTGAACTCTGGGTTTGGACATTGCCCAGTGCATGAATGAATAAATAAATTCATGACCAGGGTCCTCAGTTGAGTGAGTGGCTCAACAAGAGAAAGGTCTTGCCACCCTCTGTCACCATGCTCCTTGTCCTCTCTTACTTTAAGAGCCGAGGAGAATTTAAACAAATTGGCACAACTTGTTATTCACATGCAAAGTAATGCAATTGGACCCTCGCTTTGCACCATATACAAAATTAAGTCAAATGGATAAAAGACCTAAACACAAGTGCTGAAACTATAAACTGAAGAAAACAGAGGGGAGAAGCTTCATGACATTGGATGTGGTAATGCTTTCTTGGATACAACGACAAAAATGCAGGCAACAAAAGAACAAACAAATGGGATGACATAAATTTTTTTTGAAACGGGGTCTCACTCTGTTGCATAGGCTGGAGTGTGGTGGTGCAATCATGTCTTACTGCAGCCTCGAACTCCTAGGCTCAAGTGGTACTCCTGCCTCAGCCTCTTGGGTAGTTGGGACTACCGGTGTGTGCCAACACACCTGACTAAAATTTTTTAAAAATTATTTAAAAAATAGAAACAGGGTCTACCTATGTTATCCAGGCTGGTCTTGAGCTCCTGGGCTGAAGTGATTCCCTCGCCTCGGACTCCCAAAGCGCAGGTATTACCGGCATGACCCATTACACTGGCCTACAACAAAATTAAAAACTTCTGCACATCAAAGGAACAATCAACAATATTAGAAGGTAACCAATGGAACAGGAGAAAATATTTGCAATTCACACATCTGATAAGGGGTTATTATCAAGAATATATAAAGAACATTTACAACCAAACAACAACAAAAAACAAACAAGTTAGGGAAATGCAAATCAAAACTATTGTGAGATACCACATGTTGATGAAGATGTGGAGAAACTGGAACCCTTGTGCACGCTTGCACACCATAGTGGGAATGTAAAATGGTGGAAGACAGAGTGGATATTTCTTAAAATATTAAACATAGAATTACCATATGATCTAGCAATCTCATTTCTGGGTATATATAAAAAAGAACTGAAAGCAGACTGAAGAGAAATTTGTGTACCCATGTTCACAGTAGGATTATTCATAGTAGCCAAGAGGTGGATCAACCCAAATGTCCATCAATGGACGAATAGATAAGCAAAATGTGGTCCATCCATACAATGGACTATCATTGTCTTAAAAAGGCATGACATTCTGACACAGTCTACAGCACTGATGACCCTTGAGAGCACTGCGCTCAGTGAAATAAGCCAGTCACAAAATGACAATTAGTGTTGGATTCCACTGATATGAGATCCCTATAATGGTCACATCCATAGAGACAGACGGTTGAATGGTTGGTGCCAGGGGGTAGGGACAGGGAGAATGGGGAGTTAGTGTTTAATGGGGACACAGTTTTAGTTTGACAAGTTTGTGGATGGATGGTGGTGATGGTTGCACAACACTGTGAATGTGCTTAATGTACCACTCAACTGTACACTTAAAAATCATTAAGATGGTACATTTTATGTGATGTATATTTTACTGCAATTAAAAGCAAAAAGGTGAGGAAAGGAGCAGCAGCCTTGTGGCTTGAAAAATGCCTTGTCGGGAAAGAAGCTGCTCATGAATCCTAGCAGTGGGCTGTCAGGGAAGCTTGGCTCTGCAACCTGAGGGTGAATGAGCTAGTATTTGGAACAAATGATCCCTATTCCCACACTGCCTTCTGGGCTATTGGAGAAAGATGCCTGCTACAAGACGCTGGACTGCGGGCCCTGGGGGATCTTTCAATAGCTCTCAGCTCTCAGCCTTTCCAGCCTTCTGTCTTTCCAGTTCCTCACGTCCTGTAGGCTGGCCTGAGACCCATGCAGACATAGTGGCTTCTTAGCCAATCACCTGGGAAAGCAAAGCCAGAGAGGGAATAGCCCCACAGTCTCACCGTAGAATCATCATTTTATGCGGCTTTATTTCTCTGATATCAAACACAAAGACTCTACACAATCAATATCTCTCATGAACTTAAACAAAAAAAATTCTCAATAAAATATTTGTAAACTGAATCCAGGCATACGCAAACAAAATTATACACCAGGACCAAGTTGAAATTATTCTGGTCAACACTTGAAACTCAATCATTGTAATCCAACATGTCAACAGGGTAAAGAAAGAAAACCATAGAAATTTATTTAAAAAAGTAAAATCTGAAAAATATAAATTGCAGGCAGAAACAATAATTGGATAGATTTCAACATTCATGTATGATTTAAAAACTCTCAGCAAATTAGTAATAGAAATTACTGCAACTTGATAAAGAGCATGTACAAAAAATCTTACAGATAAGATCATTACACTAAGATGAAAGATTGAATGCTTTCCCCTTAAAATTAGGCAAGGATGATTGCTTTCAGCTCTTTTCACTCTTATTCAACGTAGTACTGGAAGCTCTAGACACTGTAAAAAGGCAGAGAATCCACAGATGGCAGATAAGCACATGAAAAGATGTTCAACATCATTGCCCACTGGGAAATGCAAATCAAAACCTTAATGAAATATCACTATAATCTCTCATAACAGCTTCAATAAAAAATACTCACAATACTAAATGTTGGCAAGGATGTAGAGAAATTGCATCATTCATATATTGAGAGAATGTAAAATGGTACAGTCACTCTGAAAAGGAGTTTAACAGTTTCTCATAAAACTAAATATGCAATTAGCATATGGCCCTAAAATTAGGCTACTGGACATTTATTACAGAGAAATAAAAACTTAAGGAGATTTGTCTTCAGTGTTCAACCTTGACACACCCCTTATCTTCTGTGTCTGGCTGATTGTGAATTGTACGTCTAGCCCCAACCCTGGAATACCCACCTCCTTCCCTTCCCACACCCCCTCCTCTTCCCTCCTTCCTCCGTCCCCACCATCTGAGAACATGCAGACCCTTTTATTTTCATCACCCTGTGGGGTGCTAAATGTACTCTAGACCTCATTGGCTATTTCTCTGTGGGGTGGGGCAGGTCAGACATTTGAGGACTTCTCAGATAGATTTGAGGTCTCTGGCCTTGCCCTGAAATTATTGGCTTTGGAGGGAAATTCATTTTTATTGAGTTCCTCATGTAGCTGGTTGCAGTGGCCAGATAGTGTTGGCCTACTCCCCTCCTCAGGTTTACTTGAAGCGGTGATCTTTTAGGGAGAGGTTTTTTTTTTTCCTGGAACTCCCTGGAAGGGTTCTTGTTGCCTTCCAGGTTGTCCTGGGAACCTGGAAGGACAGCAGGGAGATCACAGAAGGGAGTTGGTTTTGGGGAAGAAGATGGAAGAGGGGTGGGAACAGAAGCTTCCTGATAAGTGGTGCAGGCTGGGGTGGGGGTTATGCCAGGACAGGACATGGTAGCAGTGAGAGCTTGAGTGGGCCGCTCACCTTGATAGGGCTTCTGGGCCTGGGTTGAGAGGGGGTCTTCCTTTTTCTCTTTTCTTTGGTGTTGGTAGGTGGCGGCCACCTGGACTGGAGGCTCGTGGTTTTCTGGCCATCTTCACCACACGAGCATCCCTCAATACTGGTTGAAGTAAGGAGACATTTATTTAGCACCCATAGAGATCCTTCCAAACTGACCTGCCACCCTGTTCATTTCCCCATCTTCAATTCTTGTGGGTCATGTAGCAGAGAGAGGGTGTCTCCTTCAGGTTTTCTCCCATGACCCACTGCATTCAGTGGTATTAATACATTCTGTTCTCTGCAACCCTTCACCATTACCTAGTACTTGTATGTCTTACCTAAAAATCCCTGCATGGTAGTGTAGCTATATTAAGTCTTTTGTGAAAATGTGAATCATTCCATTTCCTTCCTACAAATTGCTTTTATATATCTTGAAGACCATCTACTTCTTGGCTACCACCAGGGAACAGCCATTTCCCTCCTTTTCCCAGTATCTACATAGCCCTTCTCAATTCTCTGTTTTCTTTTCTTTTTTTTTTTCTTTTTTTTTTTTAAGGGAAGATAAGTTCTTTCATCGGAGCTTACTTTTTATTTTTTTAAATTTTTTATTGGATTATAGGTTTTGGGGTACATGAGCAGAGCATGCAAGACAGTTGTGTAGGTACACACATGGCAGTGTGCTTTGCTTTTCTTCTCCCCTTCACCCACATTTGGCATTTCTCCCCAGGCTATCCCTCCCCTCCTCCCCCTCCCACTGGCCCTCCCCTTTTCCCCCCAATAGACCCCAGTGTATAGTACTCCCCTTTCTGTGTCCATGTGTTCTCATTTTTCATCACCCACCTATGAGTGAGAATATGCGGTGTTTCATTTTCTGTTCTTGTGTCAGTTTGCTGAGGATGATGTTCTCCAGATTCATCCATGTCCCTACAAACGACACAAACTCATCATTTCTGATTGCTGCATAATATTCCATGCTGTATATGTGCCACATTTTTCCAATCCAGTCTATTATCAATGGGCATTTGGGTTGATTCCAGGTCTTTCCTATTGTAAACAGTGCTGCAATGAACATTCGTGTACATGTGTCCTTATAGTAGAACGATTTATAGTCTTTTGGATATATACCCAGTAATGGGATTGCTGGGTCAAATGGAATTTCTATTTCTAAGGCCTTGAGGAATCACCACACTGTCTTCCACAATGGTTGAACTAATTTACACTCCCACCAACAGTGTAAAAGTGTTCCTTTTTCTCCACATCCTCTCCAGCATCTGTTGTCTCCAGATTTTTAATTCTCTGTTTTCTAATCTGAAATCATTGTCTTTGGGCTGTCAGATGTATTCTAGTCTTGTTTCAAATAGAGGAGTCATGTTAATCTCTTTACATATAATACCCAGGCTTACATTTTAACAGTGCGGGGAGGATGAGGCAGATATTTCTGTGTTAGAAGTTGTGCTGTGGGTTTGCCTGTAAAAACTATAACCCAAGACTGATGAGTTTGTGGTAGAGGGAGAGGAATTGTTCAACACCGTACTTGAGATTCTTTCCAGTACAATGGACCTGGACTGGAAGAGGCCTCCTGATTGGAAAGGGAGAAGTAAAATCGTGTTTTGCACAGACCACAAGATAATCTATGCAGAAAGTTCTATCAATCTAAAAAATGCTTCTAAAACTAATAATTGAATTTAGCAAGTTGCAGAGTAAAAGATCAGTGTAAAAAAATCCATTGTGTTTGTATAAACAATGGACAATTTGAAATTGAAATATACAACAGTGCAATTTAAAATAACTTTAGAAAATATGAGTTACAAAAAGACAAGTCTGGAAAATAATAACATGAATAAAAACTCAACGTTATTATTCATTAGGAAAATGATACTCAAAATCACGATGAGATAACTACACACATATTAGAATGGTTAAAATTGAAAAGATTTACTCCTTCCAAAGGCTAGGAAGAATGTAAAACACTGGAACTTTCATATATACCTTGTGAGAATGTAAAACCATACAACCATCTTCAAAAGAGTTTGGTAGTTTCTTAAAAAGTTAATCATACTCCTACCACATGATGCAGCTATCCCACTTCTAAATATTTATGTAAATCTTTAAAAAATTTAAAATAGAATAAAAGGTAGCATAGGAGAGGACTCAAGATGGCGCTGTGAGAACAACCCAGGATTGGAGCTCGTGTTGAATCTGCAAACGGTGAGTCAGAGCTGCATTTACAGACTGATCTTTGTTGCCCACAGAACGGGGAAACTCCCAAGTATAAAAAGACACGGGACGCCAGGCAGTAGGTCTGCCTGGCGAAGCCGGCAGCCGGGGCGGCGGCGGCCGGCCCTACCCAGCAATCCCCACAGGGCGCGCTTGTCCGGGTGCCCTGTTGAACCGGCAACCTGAGACTTGAGAGGGCTGGACTTGAAACTGAACGAGACTTGGACAGTAGCCCAGCCCAGGGGATTGCAGGGACAGATCGTTTGGGATACCCAGTGGGACGAACAAAACCGTGATTTCAAACTATCCCGAGCAGACGGTCTGAGACGCTCTGTGGGGGAGGGGCGTCCACCACTACCGAGGCAACCCGCCCCAACTGAGATACACGCCCACTGCTGACGCAGCCAGCCGTTGCCGAGGCAACCCGTCCCTACTGAGATACACGCCCACTGCTGACGCAGCCTGCCGTTGCTGAGGCAACACGCTACAACGAAGAGACTCCGCCGCAGGGCGTGGCGGAGACCACAGCAGAGCCTGCAGGAACGGGCGAATCACACAACAGCAGGGCAGAGCCTCGGCAGCCAAACAGTGGCTAGTCTGCCTTCTAGCTGGGCAGGACACCTTATCGAACATCCAAAAATAAAGCCCAAACCCCTCAACACAGAGCATTTGAGAAAAAAAAAAAGGGTTTTTTAATGAGTTCTGTTGCAGCAGAATCAAACATAGCAGCCTAACAGCCCTGAATGAACAACAGAGCTCACAGCTCAGCAATTAAGCCCGTATAAAGTACAAACTGTCTCCTCAAGCAGCTCCCTGACCCCTCTATATCCAAAAGACTGACATTAGGCAGGCATCATCCTGGGACAAAGATAGCAGAAAAAGAAACTGGTAGCATCCCTCGCTGTGCCACAGCTGCTAGAGGTGCACCCCAGACAAGCAGGGTCTGGAGCGGACCTCAGCAGTCGTACAGCAAAGGGGCTAGACTGGTAGAAGGAAAACCAAGCAACAGAAATACTTCATCATCAACATTCCGAGTGTCCACTCAGAGACCCAATCGAAAAGTCAGCAACTACGCAAATGACCAGCGGACAAATCCACAAAGATGGGAAGAAACCAGCGCAAAAAGGAGGAAAACACCCGAAACCAGAACACCTCACCTCCTAGAAAGGACCAAAACTCCTCACCAGCAAGGGAACAAAGCTGGATGGAGAATGACTGTGACGAAATGACGGAATTAGACTTCAGAAGATGGATAATGAGAAACTTTTGTGAGCTAAAAGATCATGTATTAAATCAATGCAAAGAAACTAAGAACCTTGAAAAAAGATTTGAAAAAAATTCGAGGAAATGATAACAAGAATGGATAACTTAGAGAGGAATATGAATGAATTAAAGGAGCTGAAAAACACAATACGAGAACTTCGCGAAGCAAACACAAGTTTCAATAGCCGAATTGACCAAGCAGAAGAAAGAATATCTGAAGTCGAAGACCAACTCAATGAAATAAAACGAGAAACCAAGATCAGAGAAAAAAGTGCAAAAAGGAATGAACAAAGTCTCCCAGAAATGTGGGACTATGTGAAAAGACCTAACCTACATTTGATAAGTGTACCAGAAGGGGACGAAGAGAATGAATCCAAGCTGGAAAATACTCTTCAGGACATCATCCAGGAAAATTTCCCCCACCTAGCAAGACAGGCCAACACTCAATTGCAGGAAATACAGAGAACACCACAAAGATATTCCGCAAGAAGAGCAACCCCAAGGCACATAATCGTCAGATTCAACAGGGTTGAAATAAAGGAGAGAATACTAAGGGCAGCCAGAGAGAAAGGTCGGGTCACCCACAAAGGGAAGCCCATCAGACTCACAGCAGATCTCTCGGCAGAAACACTACAAGCCAGAAGAGAGTGGGGGCCAATATTCAACATTCTTAAAGAAAAGAACTTTCAACCCAGAATTTCATATCCAGCCAAACTGAGCTTCAGAAGTGAAGGAAAAATAAAATCCTTTGCGAACAAGCAAGTACTCAGAGATTTTGTCACCACCAGGCCTGCTTTACAAGAGCTCCTAAAAGAGGCACTACACATAGAAAGGATCAACCAGTACCAGCCATTCCAAAATCACACTGAATGCTAAAGAGCTTCAACATAATAAAGAATCTACAACAACTAACAGGCAAAACAGCCACTTAGCATCAAAATGGCAGTATCACATTCACACATAACAATATTAACCCTAAATGTAAATGGACTAAATGCACCAATCAAAAGACACAGACTGGCAAATTGGATAAAAATCCAAAACCCATCAGTGTGCTGTATCCAGGAACCCCATCTCACATGCAAGGATACACAAAGGCTCAAAATAAAGGGATGGAGGAAGATTTACCAAGCTAATGGAAAGCAAAAAAAAGCAGGAGTTGCAATTCTCATCTCTGATAAAATAGACTTTAAAGCAACAAAGATCAAAAGAGACAAAGAAGGCCATTACATAATGGTAAAAGGATCGATACAACAAGAAGAGCTAACAATCCTAAACATATGTGGACCCAATGCAGGAGCACCCAGATACATAAGGCAAGTTCTTAACGACTTACAAAAGGACTTAGACTCCCACACAATAATAGTGGGAGACTTTAATATTCCACTGTCAATACTAGACAGATCAACCAGACAGAAAATCAACAAGGATATCCAGGGCTTGAACTCAGACCTGGAGCAAGCAAACCTGATAGACATTTACAGAACTCTCCACCCTAAATCCACAGAATACACATTCTTCTCAGCACCACATCACACCTACTCTAAAATTGACCACATAATTGGAAGTAAAGCACTGCTCAACAAATGCAAAACAACTGAAATCATAACAAACAGCCTCTCAGACCATAGTGCAATCAAG